GCCTATGGTCCCTAATCTTGACAGGGGCTTGTGGCGGTACTCGCGCCATCCAAACTATTTCGGCGAGCAATTGTGGTGGTGGGGGCTGGTCGTGTTTGCTTGGAGCCTCGGACATGGATGGACTATTGTTGGAGCTTTGATCAACAGTATGTGCTTAGCTTATGTTTCGGTGCTCGTCGATCGGCGGATGTTGAAGCAAGAGTACAGAGCTGAAGCGTGCAGGCTGTACCAAAAGACAACCTCAGCATGCGTGCCGTGGTTCAAATCTTCTGCTGAAGCAGTGAAAGATAAGCATACTTGATCTGGTTTTTTGTTCCAGTGCCAATTCTGAGTGTTTTTTTTTATGTTATGTCTTGCTGCTGTCAACGCTTGTGATGTATGCTGCTGCCCATTTGAGAGAAAAGTGGTTGTTGTCTTTGGTAGTCAAAGAAATCATTCTCTGAAATCATGTAAATTCTTTGTCTATTTGCAATGGGATCTTTTCCTTCTCTTGATTCACATATATTTGTAATATGTAGAATCTGTAGGCCATATCATGTGTTTTGTATAGTTATTTTCTTGAATTTTAAATTTTAAATTAATGTATGTGATGGTTTTCACAAAATACGTCAAAGTTGATTCATGGAACAAAATATGCAATGGTGTCATAATTTGATCAAAGAAATACAAAATAATACAAACGACTTATGATGGCAAAAGGGGGAAACCAAAGGGCATTGCGTGACTCTGAATCGGTGATCCTCTTTCTTGTTCGCTCTCCGTTGCTTAAAACCCCAGCAAAGGATTGCTGTCCGGTTGACTATAAATTGAGGGGAAAAAAAGGAAGGAAAAACAACAACAATAACATGGGCTTCTTCTTCAATATTTGTTCACATCAACAAGAAGAAACTTTGGGTTTCACTTCCAGTTCTGGGATTTGTTGCTGCGTACGCAGTGCTTTGGCTTTGTGTTGTACCCATAAACGCCTTGGTCTCTGTCACGCAATATCCTCTGTGAAAGCAGCATCTAGAGCAGAAGCCATCACTTAAGCTGAGGTTTGGTCGGAATGGGGAGTTTAAGATTCTACAAGTGGCGGACAATGACGCTGTGTGAGGATATGTTGCCTAGTCAGGTTCAAGATTGCTCTGACCTCAACACTTACTGCTTTTATCCACCGCATGATTGACGTTGAGAATCCTGATTTTATCGTTTTCACCGTTAAGCTTATGACCCTTCGAAAGTATTGAACTTTATGAGATGAAAGTCTGAAAATTTATTGGTCTGGTTAACGTACAGATAAGTTGCACAAAAAATTCGAATATCCGATTTTGCGAAAAAAATATCCGAAATCGGATTTGGGAAAACCCAGTTTTTTTTAACCGGATCGGATTTTTTTAAACCGGTTATTTTAACCGGTTTGGTAAAAAAACTGAGACCGGATAAAAAACCGGTTTGAAAAAAACCGGTTAAAAAACTGATTTTATCCGGAAAAAAAATGGTATGGGTTTAAAAACCTAGCCGTTAATATAACCGTTGGGGGATTTTGTGACCGTTTTTAACCATTTTTTTCTTTAAAAAATTATCATTTTACCACCCTAAACATATATAAATAGGTTTGGGATGTATTTGGTTGATTACAACTTTCTCAAATCTTATTACACAACACCTAAACATCTCTCAAATCTTATTTTTGTAATTTTTTGTTCATCATGAGCAACACGGCTGAATCTTCCGTCGGGGGAAACCTTGAAGTCGTGAGAGTGATCAAACACACTCGAAACAAAGATATTTGGGATCACTACGATTTATGTGAGATGTCAAATGGCTCGAGGAGGGCGCGTTGTAAACTTTGTCTAAAGTTGCTTGCATCGGAAGGAAACACAACGTTAAAGAACCATTTGACAAAATCATGCAAGGCACTTCGCTCAAGATCGGATCCTAGTCAATCGAATCTTACACCGCAAGGTGGTGTTTTTGTTTACGACAACGAAAAATTACGAGAAGCGTTTACAAAGTTCGTGATTACAAAAGCATTGCCGTTCGACCACTTTGATGATGAAGATTTCACGACAACAATTCAACAACTAATGCAACCACGTTATACTCAAGTAAGTCGTACTACCCTTAGAAGAGATGCTATAAAAATGTGGCGTACAGCGAGGGAAAAAATGATTTTAGGATTCCAAGAACATCGTTATGGTGTGTCGCTTACATGTGACGTTTGGAGTTCCCCTCATAATACCGAAAATTCTTTTTTAGCCGTTACGTCACATTGGTTAGATCAAGATAATTGGCAAATGATGAAAAGAACAATCGCATTTGAATTATTCGGTGAGCCGCATACCGGTGCTAATTTATTTACACTTTTAAAAATTGTAATTTGTCTTTATAAATTAGAAAATAAAGTTTGTAACAACAACAAAAGACTAAATGATTATAAACGATTTTGTAAGTCCGTTAATAAAAAGCTTTGGGTCCTAATTTGGATTGTCCAACTCGTTGGAACTCAACTTGGATGATGATGCATACTGCCTTAAGGCAAAGGGAAACATTGCAAACATTTCACGATCGGCTTTTCGAGAGGGGTCATGTCCCAAACATTTATCCGGATTCGAGTTGAGAAACTATAGCCAAAATAACCGATTTGCTTGGGGTTTTTAAAAATGCAACAACTTTTTTATCCGGTGTTTATTACCCTACTAGCTCGTTGGTTCTTAATCAAATATTTTTGTTGGCTACCCGACTAAATGACTTTGAATTTGAAACCGAAGTCTTTCAAGAAATTGGCTTTGCAATGAAGGAAAAACTTTTAAAATATATTAAGGAGATTCCCCCCATTTTTACTTGTGCCGCCGCTTTAAACTCAATGTTAAATGTTGGCAGGGTTGAAACACTAATTGAACAAATTGCATTTGCTTTTAATCTAACCGATGATGAACCCAATTTTGTCCAAAACCAAATAAATTATTTTAACAAATGTTTTCGAGACATGTTTGTAATTTATTTAACTAAATACGGATCAAGTAGTGTAATACACGATCAAATGATAATGAATGCGGAATCATCTAGTAGACGTCCAAGTAACATAAATTTGAATCTTTTTAACACTCTTGTAAATTCACAATCCAAACGATCACGTACTACCACCCCAAGTAGCGAGTTGGGAAATTACATGTCATGCGATTTTCTATCAAAAATGACATTTGAAGAGTTTGAAAGTTTGAATATTTTGGCTTGGTGGAAAGAAAAGGAAGCACAATTTCCGATTCTAGCCGCCATGGCCCGTAATTTACTAACCGTCCAAGCTTCTACGGTAGCTTCGGAATCCGCTTTTTCTGTTAGTGGCAGGGTTATATCGCAACGGAGATCAAGACTAAGTCCCGAGTCGGTGGAAGTATACATTTGTTTAAAGGATTATTTGGATGGAGCGGCTCGTAAGCAACATATCACCACCCTAGAAGATGCAATTGATGCCGATTTGGAAGCAAACTTACACATTGAAGAAGTCGAACTTGGAATATCCCCTCCAAACGAAGAAGGCGAAGATGATGAAGAAGAGATGGCAATGTAGTTTATTTTTAAACTTTATTTCAATTATCGTAAACTTTGTTTCAATTATCGAACTTGAAGTTTTTAAGTATTTGAATTTATCGAACTTGGAAGTTTTTAAGTATTTGAATTTATTAAACTTGGAAGTATTTAAGTATTTCAATTATCGTAAACTTTGTTGCAATTGATGACGATGTAATTTTAATAATATTAAAATCTATTTTTTTTATAACATGTTTTTTAAAAAAACCGATTTTTTTAAAACCGAAACCAGTTACACCGGTTAGGATATCCGGCCCTCCAAACCGGTTAGAAAACCGAACCGGTTATTTTATAAACCGGTTTTTTTTCTATGGGAAAAAATCGGATCGTATAAAAATCGATCCGGATCGGATTGAAATCCGACTTCTGTGCAACCCTACGTGCAGAGCAGGCTTGCTTTTTTTCATTTTTTGCGTTTAACAATCCTCATGCTTTCATTTTGGCGGCTTTAATGTGGTTTCAAAATGACATTGGCCGAAACCCTGAATTTTCTTCTTGCTAGCTTTTAATACCATAGCATAGTATAGTAATTCTTTATAACTATGTTTATTGTGATGTCCGAGTTCACCCTATGCAACTGTTTTGTATGTATGTTAGGGGATAGCATCTTCGGATTTAATTCCATGGATGCAGCATTTGCCCCTGCAATTGCTGCTAGAATTCCGTTGGCTGCTGTTTTGGGGAACCATGACCAGGAAGGCATATTGTCATGAAACACATAGTTGGATTGAATCATACACCGTCTCAATTAAATGCTACTGGGGTACATGTTATTGATGGGTTTGGGAACTACAATCTAGAGGTTGGTGGAGCCGAAGGGTCCGATTTTGTAAACAAATCTATTCTCAATCTCTACTTCCTTGACGGTTGTTATTACTCGAAGGTTCCAGCTATCCCTGGCATGGCTGGACTGGATTAAACCCTCGCAGCAGTTGTGGTTTCAACGCATTTCTGCAATGCTTCTGGTATGAACCTAGTTCGACTGATTGCATGTCATATCTATGTTAACCCAATAATTATGCCATGTTTTAGTTTTGTACCTCCGATCTCAAGTTATGTAAGACAAGGCTGTAAGGTTGGTGGTGATGAAATACGACCCTGGTCACCAAATACGTTGGTGGTGGTGATGGGGCATAGGATGATGGACAAGAAGGAAAGGTGAAAAAAAACAAAAAGATTTTCTAGACTCAAATAGTGGTCAACGTGGCTGTAATGTGTATCAGCATTTCGTCACCCACGTTAACGGACGTTAATGTTAATGGTGAGTGATCGATTTATTATAAATCAATAACTTTAGTGACTAATTTGTTACTTTTGAAATTTCATTGAGGAAAATAAAAATTCACTCAAAGTTTAGTGACCATTTTTGTCGTTTATCCTTAAATTAATGGAATTTTAACAAGGTGTAAGAAATAATATAAAAAAATGAAAAGTCATGTGAACAGCTGGACATTAGTTGAACCGAATTTTCTAGTTTCTTTGCCTCGTTAAAAAAATCGACTCTGACTTGCTTCGACCCAATTGATTACTTTTTTACCCAGTCTGGGGATTAGGGTTAGGGATCGAAAATAAATTGCAGGAGATCCTTTCAATTTCAGTCACATGCCGTGCTTCACGGCAATTCCGCTCCACATCTTAACCGTCCTTTTCCTCTTCTTTTGTTTCTCTGCACCGATCGCGCAATCTTCGACAGATGATTCAGGATCTATCCGTTTACCTTCCGATGGATTCACTCCTAACGGCGATAACGAAGGCGTCTGCGCACGATTTACCAAGCCGGCATCCTGCCCGGTAAAATGCTTCCGTACGGAGCCAGTTTGCGGCGTTGATGGCGTGACCTACTGGTGCGGTTGCGCCGACGCCTATTGTGCCGGTACACGCGTGGCGAAATCAGGATTTTGTGAGGTTGGAAGTGGAGGTAGCGCGTCGCTTCCTGGTCAAGCTCTGCTTTTGGTTCACATTGTTTGGCTCATCTTGCTCGGTTTTTCTGTAGTGTGTGGTCTTTTCTAATTCTTTTTTCTTCAAAAAGAGATATTTTATGTAATTTCCCCCGGATTCGATCTGTAATTTCCTTTGTCAGCTATTTGTAAATCAAATTCGTTGGATTATATTACAATTTGATTGATTTTTGTTTCAATTGCTTCATTAATCTTCACTCTATCGATTCGATTCTAGACTTTTAGAAAAATCGAGCAATGGACACGGAATTCTGCACAATTTCGTCACTTTTTAATTGAAGAACAAAAAGAATAATCCATGAATGACCACTTATTAATTGAAGAACAGAAAGAATAATCCTTGAATGAGTGAGGCGACATCCACGGTTGTCCAGAATTGCCAAAAATATTCAAAATTAGAGAAAGGCATACCTATGGTTATTCCCAAAATGTTTTTGGCAAATGGATGGGAACATCGGTTGTAAAGTTTTGAAATTTTCCACGCAGAAGTTCGATGCCAGGTCTTGTCCGTCACCACTTTCATAGATGCCTATTAGTAATCGTTTACTCGAACAGTATACAAGTTAATACAAGCTCTAATCGTGATTAAATTCCGTAAACACAAGACGTATTTAGTGTTCGCTGCTAATGAATCTCTCTCTCTGAAATGCATGAACTTTTCCCCAGTGCTTCTGTAGATCTCTTACTGTTCAATAAGGCAATGATAATATGATGGAAAACAAAAAGGTGGCAAATTTGATTCATATTCCAAATTTGGAGGGGAGAACCCCTATTTATAGATAAACCGGGAAAGATAATGAATTATGCTTCGAAGCTTAATATTTCTTCTCTAGTTGCTTTATTTGCTGGAGATGAACTGCTGTCAACAATGGAAGACTGTTACTGCAATGGTAGTCATCAACTTCGCTCTGGCCGTAACGAATGTGCTTACCAAAAAGATTCTCGAAGATGGCGTGAGCCGTATAATCATCTTGATGTACCGTCAGGCTATTTCCGCTGTTTTCTTGGCTCTGATCACCCTACTTTTGGGAGAGGTAATCGTGCTGGTGTTTTACTTAACTATGTCTATGTCAGCTGGTTTCATTGGCTTCCTTGCATAAAAACTAGACCCAAGCTCACAGCTGATATTTTATTCCAGCTTTTCCTCAATGCTCTTATAGGGTTAGTTCTAAAGATATTGAATAGCTATCTCCAGTTTGGTTGATCCTCAACTTTATAAATTATAGTAAGAAACTTTAACAAATGTAATCCAGGGCAACACTCTGTCTGTACTCTCCTTCTGGGACTTGAATATATACTTCTTCAACTTTCACATGTGCATTCGTCAATATGGTCCTGCAATTACCTTTATGTTGGCGCTACCATTTGGGTAATTTCTTAAACACCGAGTGCTTTTTGGTAGCTTTTAAATTCGGTCCCGTCCGGTCTTATCTCTTCGATTATATCATTCATTTTGCAGTCTAGAGAAAGTGAATCTCAGAAACAAGGCTGGGGTTACGAAGGTTATAGGTACATTGGTTTGCATCGGTGGGACTATGGTGCTGACACTTTACAAAGGGAAAACATTGGTGGGATCGGATACGGGGGTCGTGGTTCATACCAAAAACTATGCTAATATGATGGTTTCGAGTAAGAATAAGAAAGAGAGATGGGCCATCGGTTCCATATTTCTGGCTGCCGGTACTGTCTTTTTGTCGTCGTGGTTCCTTCTGCAAGCCAGAATTGGAAGGACATATCCATGCCAATATTCCAGCACTGCAATTTTGTCATTCTTCAGTGGAATTCAGTCAGCCATCATAAGTTTGATAACAGAGAGGGACTTTACCAGATGGATGTTGAAGGAAAAACTCGAACTCATAACAATGGCTTACAGCGTAAGTAATCACCACCGTATTTTCAAAGTTTTGATCTTTACTGCAAAATCAAACTCATAATCACAGTCCAATTTCTTGATCCAAAAATGAAGGGAATGGTGGGATCTGGGATGTGCTATGTGGGATTGTCCTGGTGTGTGAAACAAAAAGGTCCAGTCTTCACATCAGCCTTCACGCCACTGGTGCAAAGATTTGTAGCCATATTTGATTTCACTATTCTACATGGACAAATCTACTTTGGAAGGTTTGTTTCTTACTTCAATCCTCCTTTCCTAATATTAATTGTTGTTCATCAAACATTTTATATGGCTTCTAATATCCGTTTATCGGCTACGAACAGCGTGATCAGATCTATTTTAGTTGTAATTGGATTATATATCCTGTTGTGGGGCAGAAACCGTGAGGCCGAACAAATTCAACAGCTGAAACAGACTCACATAGAAGAAGACAGTAATGCAAGAGCACAAGTTTAACAAATGTCCACGTTTCTTGTTCAACAAGATAAGGTTGCCAGTGTTGTATCGAAATAAACATTTACGAAATTTATACAATGAACTCCATTAGAATTGCCACTGCTATTTTTTATTTACTTGAGTCCAGACAAATACACAGAGACTGTATATGCTGAACTAATGAACCTGTTTCGAGTTCAGACAAATACCCACACCAACATTCATTACTTAAGACATGAATAAGGGTAAATTTACACCACATACCACTCAAATCCTATTAACTTGTTTATACAATTGAACTTCTAATTTTATTAATTATAACACTTAACTTTGATTTCTGTTTCAATTATACACTTCTTTGTCAAATCACTTCAATTTTACCAAAAACTACATCATTTGATGTGTCAACCACATGAGTAACTATTAGCCACGTCACTTTGTTGTTAGTAATTTAATGATAAAGTGACATAATTGAAGTGAAAATTAAAATTTAATATTATAACTGATAAAATTAAAATTTTACGGTATAAATATATTAACGGGCAAAGTTGAGTCGTATCTGGTGTAGTTTACCCCATGAATAATAACACAAAACTAGAATGAGATTTGACATTATAATATATATTGAAATCCGACTAATATAAGAGATGACCATCTAGTTCAGTTGGTAGAGCACAAGATTCTTAACCTTGAGGTCGTGAGATCGAGTTTCACGGAAAGTATTTCATAATTCGGAAGTCTTCTACGGAAGTTGCTCTCAACCTGGTGTTAGAGCAGCCTACTATCTTATCTCCCCTTATCCCATTACATATGAGAATAAGGGACAACCATTTGACTAATATAACTGTTCTTTTACCAGCCGTAAAGTGGATGAATTTAGTTGGATTCCAAAGCATGATTTCTTTCCAAATATATTAATCACAACTTGCTGCTTCAACTATACTGTATGAGCGCTTTTATCTCGTTTCTCATTAATGATTAAAATATATATAAAAAAGTACATGAGAATTACAGATAATTTATTATTATAAATATACTCTCAATTTTAAACCAACATACGATGATTAAAATAAAATCATATCACCTTAATCTAATGTTAAAAATAATTTCTCTCTAAATAATTCTCAGTGACCTATTTTTATTCTTATTTCCTCGAATAAGCTAAATATATTATTATTATCAAACATAGAAATGGCATTAACTACAAATAGACAACAACATGGTCCCTGCAAATTCTTAGCCTACCAGCCATCACCTAAAAGACAGCTTGGCCACTACACACCTCTTGCAGCTGCTCTCTGCAACACCCTCGAATTAACCACTTTTGTGTTGTTTTGTCTCTGTTTTTAATTTCATATACATTGTAGCTTGCGCATGTGGTTGCTCTATCACCATCAATTAAGCCTAATTACCTATTAAACCTCACCTATGTATTACTCTCTTTATAGGGTGTGGAGGATTTCAATTTTCAATGCCTTCTATTTTCTCTTTCAATGTGTAGTTAGGAATCTTGTGATTGAATCTTTTTTAACAATAATTTCACACCCATCTAGTATTTCACCTTTAACCCTTTTTATCTATATTTAATTACAACCTTTCCAACATCTATGGCTTTAATCTTCATTTTTTATGTATAGACTATATGTACTATACCCTAACTTTTTCCATGTTACTAAAGCATCATTAAAAACATCATATATATATATATATATATATATATTATTTTTAGTTCTTTAGTACTAATAAGAACAGTGTTGGGGTAAGATTGCCAACTGGTATTTTCTAGGTTAATGCAGTGCAGATATGTCTTATCACATGCATATATGTATATTGTATAATCGTCTTAGACTGATGCAATGTTAGGGAAGTAGCGAATATGCATGCATACATACACATATATCTACGTATAAGAATCCGTCCCCTAAGAAAAAGAAGTTAAAATAGAAGTTATTTTCTTGCGCAACAAACAAACCCTAAAGTAATTAATATTTGTTAGAGATTTGTTTGCTATCATTGGTAATTAATCTTAGGCTAAACAGACATCTATCACATGTATCAGTGCCAATGATATGCATTTTACATCAGACTATAATAAATCTTTATTAGATACGGATGTCCGGTCCTAGAAATATATAGAATCATGGGTAGCTCCAAGCATGTAATGAAGTCGATGCACGTTTCATATATGTATGTGTGTATGTAATTAATTCATGAATGCAACTCAACTAACAAGGACAAGGTGATAAGCTCACTGCATTTTAATGATTTAAAACAACTATTGTAGTATGCTTAGTCAATTTAAAAGCTGCACCAATTAGTAGCTAGAAGTGAGACGGCATTGATTGAGTAAAATAAATATTTTTCAACAACTTGGCAATTACTAACTTAGTATATATACCAACGAACGGTGACGGATTCAAAAATATTTTTTAGGATTGATACATGTGTATTAATAATATAAATTTTTTATATAGGATGTGTATAAATAAAATTTTAGGGTGGATACACCCAATAAAATAAGTAACTAATCGAAGAAAATTCGAATTTTAGGATATATACGTGTCTATTCTAAATTAAGAGTGGATTTGAATGCTTGTAAATAGCTGATATAACCATATTGATGTATTTATTATTTTTTGGATGAAAAAATGTTATTAGTTCCAACCTATTTCATGTCTTCTTATAAGCTATTTTTGATGTACAAAGTACTTTCTTAATTAATTCCCCCAGTAATTTGAACTACCTGCCATTGCATTCAATTCAAAGATTGATATATTTGTATAATTTTATGCGTGATCAATAAATCAAATATAACTTAATCGATACTATCAGAGACATTAATGTGATATTTCATGCACGCATGTAAGTTCAAATTATTTAGACAAAGCAAGGGAACTCTTACAAGGATTCAGTCTGAGTAGACCTGTCATTGGAGGAATCTGAACCCTCTTTAGCACAAGAGACTTTGGTGTGTAGCAGTCCATAATCACGGCTGTGAAGAGAAGACACGAATTACCAAGAAAGTAAAGTGATCATATGATATATGTATGAAAAACTTACAAATTTAAGAATACAGATAATACTTTTTTTTACAGTGCTGCAACTTTCCCTGCAAGCCTGCAGCTTAGTTCAGCAGCAAACAAGCCAAGAAACTATAAATATATATAAACGTAACATGGAAAAACGTAAGAAAGAGAGAGAGAGAGAGAGAGAAGAGAAGAAGCAAAGAAATGTCCATTTTTAGACTATAGATTCATCAGCTACCCATGCATACAGCACAAGTAAATGCTGTCAGGAAGAGCAAAGGATATATATATATATATATATATATATGTATATGTATATAAACAGACAGGGGAAAAGCCATTTTGGCTGGTTGTAATTTTCTGTATATATATAATATACACAATTAATTTTCAAGTTCATATGTTGCTTCTTTCATCTTTAGCTCTTTCACAGATCCCAAACCTTAACTAACTATGGTACTGAAACAATAAATAAATCAAAAGTAAATGAAAACTCAGATTGATAAAAGTCTTATCTTTCGACCTCTTCCCTAAATCCAGTGCCTGTCACGATTTGACGACAGCTGCGAATTTCTCTTCACTGATCAGAGCTCCAAATCAACGGATAAGGAAGATTTACCTTTCCTTGATATTCAGCTTGCATAGCGGACAGTGAGATATTATTTGTTATTGGACTGTCTTGGTTGGAGAGAAGAGGATGAAGATCCATCTTGTGTCGGATTAGGACAGTCCATGTTCACACCAAACAACCTTAGCCTTTTAGCCGCAGTTTTGTTTCCCTGAACTGGGACTGAATCAATCACCATTGGCATTGGTTCCCCTCTTCCTCCCCCTTGCAGTGTCCCAATTTGATGTGATGATGACGTCAAATAATACTCCGACACATTGCCGACAGTAATCTGCTGGTGATCTTGGTGTTGATGGTGATGATTGTAAGGATAAATGCTGTAATTCAACCGATGTAAAGGTTCGTAGTTCCGAGACATGCAAATCTGTTGAGGCAGCGAGTAGTGTCTACCCCACCGGACCGGCTGAGGAAAGTTGAATTGATTTTGGAGCTGAATATGTGCAAACGGTGAAGGATCGAGCACATTAGGACGGGGCCTCCAATCGATATAACCGGTCTTTCACCGACTCCCCAACACCTCTCTGAAACGACACTGTATCACCTGCAACAAGCTTTTTCTCCTTTACAAAACGGCTCCAACCTTAGTAATCACATAACTCTGGCTACTATTCCAATACGAGTACCGGAACCGCCACAACTTGCCGTTCCGATCTTCGAAATTCAATAACAGTCCTTTCTTGATCGAGGAAGAGTCGAGAGGGAAATACTTCTCGGCATGTTGCTTCGGTATAACGAGGCGATTGAGCTTGCCTACATCACTTGGTGTGACAACTTTATCAAACTGTGTTCTTTCTCAATAGACCTACTGCCATCATCACCGTCACAATCTCTACAGCTTCCGATAATGTTTGATTCTCGTTGTTGTTTCCGAGTGACAAATCCATCAGCTCTAGTTTCTTGTCGATATTGAAACCGGACTCTTGGGTTTTGTAATCTTCTCGGGAATCCAAGGTTCCAAGCGACAAGTGAACGGAGTCCTTGTACTTTGAAGAAACTGAAGAAGAAGAAGAAGAAGAAGGGGAAAACGGAAGTTGCTTGAAATTTCTCTCACCAGTACTTCTCATCATCATCCTCTTGATCTGCATTATTACGATACCCTTTTTCTCTTGCACAAAGTTCATTATGATTTCCTTGTTTATCACACTAAATAATAAAATTCACATGAAAAATTGGTGGCTAAATGGTGGGAAATAAAGGGTGGGTGTAGCTAGCTTCTATAATTTAAAACTAAAACAAGAAACTGACCTGCAAATACTGGTTTCTTAGAAGTATTCTTGATCTTTGAGGGTCGTTGCCTTCTTCTTTGACCAAAAGAAAAATAGAGAAAAAAAACTGGAAACCCTAAACAACAAATGAAGGGCATGGAG